AAAAAAAAAAAAAAGATTCTCATCGAAGATAGAGACACTTCTCACGCCAAGGAGCATGGCAGTGTCTGTGAAGAAATCCGGTTTTTCCAAAGCAGCCAGCCATAGTAACTTGGTGGCTGAGGGTCTAAGTAGCATATTTGGTTGCAACAAGATGGTTCTGAACCAGAGAACACTGCTGTTTCTCAGCACCTTTGTAATGGATCATCCTAAGATATTCTACCATTATAAGTGGATGCAGTTTGCTAAGATCTAACCTGAAAATTAGTGTTGTCTGTGAGGAAAGCTTTCTGATCTATAACTTGGTTCCACCTACCTGGTCCTCAAGGGACAGGTGTATCTGGCCTCCTGCAGCCACCCAGACCCTGGGATGCTGATAGCACTGAGGCACTGAGTGGGGATGTAGGAGAAGCAGACACACCTCTGACAGAGCAGCAAGTGCCGCCCCACAACATCACAGCCTCTAAAAAGCATGTGACTTCTTGCTAGAAAAGAGGGAGGAAGAACAGGGGCTCCATGCCTGTCTTCAGAGCCAGCTCTTTGGGATCCCTCTGGACATGGGAAGAGAGAGGTAAAACTCAGGAGGCCTCTTCTACTGAGATCAGGTGACCCCTGAAACACACTGGGACCAAACAAAAACAAAAAACTAGGGACAAAGCTAGACCATTATCTTCTATTTCCAGATTAACTCCACCACTAAAACAAGAAGGTGGGTAATTGAAAATCAATCAATGTAATCCATTATATTAATATTATAAAGAAGAAAAAATATATAATCACACCAATGAAGAAAAAGAATTTTAAAGACTCACAGAAAATTCGAAATAGAAAGGAAATACCTCAGCCCGAAAAAGTGTATTTATGAAAAGTCCACCTTTTTTTTTTGTATGAAAGGTCTTTATTGGTGGGGGGAGGGAGGCTGCAGAGCAACACCAAGGAGGAGAGAAAAGAGGAGAGAAAAGAGGGGAGAGAGATAAGGAGAGAGTGGGGAAGAGAAGAGAGAGAGTAGAGAACAGCGAGGGGGAGAAGTGGGGGTTGAGAGGCAGAGAGCAGGGAAGGAAGGCAGAGTGAGGCGGGAGAGAGAGAGAGGGGAAGGTCCACCTTTGACATCCTAGTTGCAAAGAAAGACTGAAGTTTTTTTCCCCTAAAACTGGGAACAAGGCAATACAATTTATAATAGCTCTAAACCCACAAAATACCTAAGTATAAAGCTAACAAAACATGCCCAGGAGTTGTATGCTAAAAATTATAAAATGCTAATAAAAGAAATCAAAGGCAATCCAAATAAGTGGGAAAAACATACCATGTTCACAGTAAAGATGTTAGTTCTCCCCAAATTGATTCAATGCAATTTAATAAAAGAAATCTCAGTAGGATTTTTTTGTAGACAGGGATAAATTGACCGATAACTTATACAGGGACATTAAATTTATATAAATAGCCAATATAATACTGAAGAAGAAAAAAAATAGGAGATAGTCTACTCAATTTTAAGACTTACTATAAAGCCATAGTAATTAAGACTGTGCTATTCAGAAAGGGATAAGCACACAGATCAATGGAATGGAATACAATGTCCTAAAACTGACCCACACACATACAGCCCATTATTTTAATAAAGGTGCAAAAGTAATCCCATGGAAAAGGGATAGTCTGTTTAATAAATGAGGTTAAATAAATGAGGCTCGGCACCTGTGGCTCAAGCGGCTAAGGCGCCAGCCACATACACCTAAGGTGGCAGGTTCGAATCCCCAGCCCGGGCCCGCCAAACAACAATCATGGCTGCAACCAAAAAATGGCCAGGCGCTGTGGCGGGTGCCTGTAGTCCCAGCTACTTGGGAGGCTGAGGCAGGAGACTCACTTGAGCCCAGGAGTTGGAGGTTGCTGTGAGCGTGATGCCATGGCACTCTACCCAGGGGGATAGCTTGAGGCTCCGTCTCAAAAATAAATAAATAAATAAATAAATGAGGTTAGAACAACTTGTTTCATATGAGAAAATAAAAAATAAAACCCTCAACTTAAACGTTCTATCTACTCAAATTAACTCAATAACCAAGAGATTTAAATGTAAATCAAATTTTTGAAAGAAATCAGGAAACCTACATACAGACAGAATTCTTAGACCTGGCATCAAAAGTGTAAGCCAAAAAAGAAAAATTGATAATTAGATGTCATCAAAATTAAAACAAGTTTTTTTTCTCCACAAAAGATACTCTTTAGAGAATGCAAAACAGACTACAGAATGGGAGAAAATATTTTCAAATCACCCGTCTGAAAGGGGACTTGTGTCCCTTTTATCCAGAATGTATATGTATTAATATAAAGAATTCTTAAAACTCAAGTTGTCAAAAACAACCAACCCAGTTAAAAAAAAATAAGAAAATGACTTGAAGTGGTCTTTCACCAAAGAAAAAACAAAGCCCATGAAAATCTGCCTTCCATCATTAGGTATAAAGTAAGTTACAACCACAGAGAGGCCTGTTAGAATGGCCAAATTAAGGAGTACTGACAACACCACGTTTGGATGATGAAGTGGATCAACAGGAAATCTCAGGTGTTACTGGTGGGAAGGCAAAATGGTACAACCACTTGGGAAAACTCTCAGGTGGTTTCTGATAAGTTAAGCATACACATCTATGAGCAAACAATTCCCTTTGTAGAGAGTTACCCAAAAGAAAGAAAAATACATGTCCATACAAAAACCTGCATGTGATTACTTTGAGTTAGTTCATTCATAATTTCCCCCAAATGGAAACCATCCAAATGGTCCTCAACTAGTGAATGAATAAACAAACTGTATCACAGTAGGATATCACTCCACAAAAAAGAACCGAACTTCTGATCCGCAGCAGTTGTTCTCCACCTTCCTAATGCTGCGATGTATTTTCATTGTTACAAAGGGATTGCAACCCACAGGTTGAGAACTGCTGATGGAAAGCAACTTGATTAAATCTCAAAGGCATCACATAGAGTCAAAGAAGCCAATCTCAAAGTGTTGTCTGCTGTATGATTTTGTGTTTACAATGTGCCTATAAAGATAAGACTCAGTGCCAGGGAACAGGTTAGGAGCTGTGGGATTATTGGGGCTGTAACCAGTGGGGGGAGGTTGTGACTGCCAAGAAATATCATGTAGGGGTTTTGTGGGAGTCCTGATTGTGGGGTGGTTACACAAATCCACACGTGTCAAACTCATAGGGATGTCTACCAAAAAGTCAATTTCACTGTGTTAATTAAAAAACTGAAACAAAGGTAAATGTGGAAAGCTGAGTTTTAAAAGCAAAGGCTTTTTAAAAGCAGGTAAATAATTTTTTTCCATAGGAACATGGAAGTAAGAATTCAGTAGAGTTCTGCAGGGAAACTTTGTCTTGTTTGGGCCAGTCCAGTTTTCAGAGGGATGGACTGATCTAAGCTTCTGATAACAGTAACAGTGATGACAGCAGTGATGACAGTAATAGCAGCAGCACTACTTGTTGGGAGGTGCTTTACTTACTTGCTCTTCACCATGGCCTATGAGCACGGCTTGTCGTCCTCTTTGTACCAATGGTAAGCTGAAATTCAAAGAGCTCTACAGACCTGCCTAGGGTCACTGGGCCCAGCTGAGGCTGGCAGGACTGCCATATAGGCCACCTGGGTCCACAGCAGATGACAGTTCCCCCTAGGTCTTTGGGTTGCCTCTTACTCACCATCCCTGTTGCTGAAAGTCTTATACATGGTCTACCCTGTTGGCCCCCAGGAGCCCACTACATACCGTGGCTGGTGATGACCGGGAGGTATGGGCCAGGGAATGTCGTGCGCCGTCTATGCCCCCGTGGATGAGATAGGCTCCTGCGCTGGAGACGAGGGGGCTGCCCCCGACATCCATGGTGATGCCCACCATGCTGTGGGAGGGCACCGTGGGTGGGGATGAGGCTGCCACTGTCACCTGGGTGCCACCCGGGGCCTCGAAGTAAGAAGCTGCGCTACTGGGGGCGTACATCTGAGGCTCAGGGTTGTAGGTATAGGCCGTTCGTCTGTTAGAAAGAGAAGTCACCCTGAGACCCTGTCTGGTTTAAGTGCTTTATCCAAGTTTCAAAGGAATCCAGCAAAACTTCAGGTAAACACTGGAGTCCCATGAGACCGGGCATATGGAGCAATCTGGAGATGGCATATGGAATTCAAACACAGAACAAAGTTCAACACTGCCATCTCTGGCTCTGTGCCTGTAGCTCAGCATTTAGGGTACCAGCCACATCACTGGAGCTGGTGAGTTCGAATCTAGCCTGGATCTGCCAAACAACAATGACAACTACAACAAAAAAATAGCCAGGTGTTGTGGCAGGCACCTGTAGTCTCAACTGCTTGGGAGGCTGAGGCAAGAAAATCACTTGAGCCCAAGAGTTTGAGGTTACTGTGAGCTGTGACGCCATAGCACTCTACCAAGGGTGACATAGTGAGACTCTGTCTCAAAAAAATTGAAAAACCCTGGGCGGTGCCTGTGGCTCAAAGGAGTAGGGTGCCAGCCCCATATACTAGAGGTGGTGGGTTCAAACCCAGCCCTGGCCAAAAACTGCAAAAAACAAAAAACCCCGCAAAACTGAAAAACCTGCCATCTCTGAAATATTCAGATGACAGGCTGACTAACTGAAAACAGATCATTTAAAAATTCTATATGGGTAAATGAGTCACAGGGGGAATTCCTCTGTGGAGATTCTGAAACAGTTTTATATCTTACTGTGGTGGTTACACAAATCTACATGTGACAAAACTGAACAGAAATATACACACACGTATGCACACACAGGCACACACAAAAAGGCACATGCATAAAGATGGTAAAACACAATGAGGTCTGCAGGCCCACTAACAGCAGGCCCACTAACAGCACTGCCCCAGTGTCAGGGTCCAGGTTTTAAGATTGTTCCACAGTCAATAAACAGTGTCACCACTGGGACAAGCTGGAGGAGAAAGGGTCCATGGGACTCTGGGTACTAATTTTATAACTTCCTGTGGGCCTACGATTATTTCAACAGTAAGTTAAAAAGAATGAAATTGTATAAGAAAAAGAATTTCTGAGTGACACCAAGGATTCATATTGATCTAATATTCCTTTAATGCCTGGATTAAAGGATTAGCCATGTCTGTTGAAACTAAAATTTTTATTTTTTAAATTTTTTTGTTTTTGAGATAGAGTCTCACTTCATTGTCCTCAGTAGAGTGCTGGGGTGTCATAGCTCACAGCAATCTCAAACTCCTAGGCTCAAGTGATTCTCTTGCCTCAGCCTCCTAAGTAGCTGGGACTACAGGCACCTGCCACAACACCTGACTATTTTTTATGTTGCAGTTGTCATTGTTGTTTAGCAGGCTGGGATGGGTTTGCACCTGCCAGTCCCAGTGTATGTGGCTGGTGACCCAACCACTGAGTTACAGGCGCTGAGCAGAAAATGGAATTTTTAAATTATACTTGAGTACTGCCAGCTATTTGTCTCCCAAGGTGACATCCTGTATAACTGTAGTATAACATCAAAACTGTACTGACCTCAATACAACCTACAGAGCCTGTGTTGACTCCCTAGTTTTACATGCACTCATTTATGTTAGTGCTTCATAGTCTTCAATGTGGTACTTTAGGAAGTCCTACAACTCTGAAATCATACCAAGCCCTTGCTCTTGTGAAGTGAGTCAAAATAAAAATAAACATGTCTCAAGCAAAATGAACTGCAACGAAGATGCATAATTCTCTGCCCCAAGCATCATGTAGTCAGAGAGCAGAACATCACAGGGGTTCTTGAGAAATGGAAAGTCAAATTTTATCAACATCATGACAAGCTAGAGTTTAACAAAGGTAGCAAAGGTTTTGGGACTGCAAAGACTGAAACATCAGAACTAAAAGTTGGATGAGTTTTTAGTTTTTTCTTTTAAAGACTGCCTTTTCTAGAAGTAAAAGAAAAAAATACAAAGGTCTGTGATTTTGGAATTCTCTACAGGGTTGTGATGTCCTAGTACCATGTTAATAGCATTTAGTGAACACATCTCTGAAAAGATAACGGACAGAAATTTGTTCAAACACATCCCCAGAGGAAAAAAGGAGGAAGCGTCATGAGAGAAGGCTCTGGGTGTAGTCTCTGAGGGACATGCACGTACATGGTCCCGTTCGTGTAGACGGCATCTCCCCCCTCCACGTACTGCACCTGGGCAGGGTACACGTGCTGCACGGGCTGAACCTGCAACAACACCAAATGAATTGTGTTACGGCAAGTAGTTCTCTTGCCAATTATTTTCAGATCATTCACGCTGAAAATGGCCTCTGCTACCTTTTATGAATATTTAGTACCAAGTACAATTTCCCCTCCCACAGTCAGCACTCCTAGAAAAACGCCAGTAAAGACAGTAATAAAAGGACAACAGATCCTCAAGGGGCCCAAACGGCTCACAGATGTGCTGCAGATCTTCAGAGTTCTGCTGTGGTTTCTGAGTCTGGGCTCACTTCTGCTGTGGTGCTCCAGGGAAGTGAGATCAGTGGCCCCTAATCTGTATACACAGCAGCACGGCTTCTGTCCAGAGTGGTGGAAGCCAAAGTCGTGAACAAAGCTCCAGCCTTGGGACGTTGGACAGTTCCTGGTATGGGCAGATGGCTCAAGCTGATGACATTCTACCTGCTACCCTCCCTGACTGAGAGGAGAGAGAGGCTCTGACATCTGGGCAGAGTGGGAAGGAGCAACACACCTGGAAAGATGGGGTGATGGGAGGACCCCAGTGCCCACCCCATGCCCTATCCAGCACTTTGCACGTGGAACTCTATAAACTCTCACCAAGGAAGGCATCTTTTTTTTTTTTTTGAGACAGAGCCTCAAGCTGTCCCCCTGGGGAGAGTGCCATGGCATCACAGCTCACAGCAATCTCCAACTCCCGGGCTCAAGCGAGTCTCCTGCCTCTGCCTCCTAAGTAGCTGGGAGTACAGGCACCTGCCACAGTGCCTGGCTATTTTTTGGTTGCAGCCGTCATTGTTGTTTGGCAGGCCCAGGATGGATTCGAACCCACCACCTTAGGTGTATGTGGCTGGTGCCTTAGCCCCTTGAGCCACAGGTGCCGAGCCAAGGAGGGCATCTTAATGGGTGCCCAGGTCAACATAATTGTCGAGTGAGAAGATGGAGGGCCACTGTGTTGGGCTGAGTTGGGTCTTGTGATGCCCTTTTTCTGAAGCCTTTGCCTGAAGCTGCAGGATGGGGCTGACCTGCATGGACCTCCAGGACAACTGAGCATGGTATGCACAACCCCGTAATAACAAGTTCCAGGAGAGCCCATGTGCTGGATGCTATCCATAGGGGTGGAAGTTGAACATCAAACTCCAGGGAACTGAGTGAAATGCAGAAGTTACCTGGCAAGCTTGAGTTGCCCTGAGTTGGAGAAGCCTCTAGAATCACACATAGGTCTCTATCTTCCCTTCTTGATGGTATTCCTGAAGAGGATCTTTATAGAGATAGGAGCCACTGCCCTAAGATCTTGTGTCCATCCTGGGTCTATAAACCTTCCCCATTCCCATGGACATAGCCACCTGACAACATCTATAGATATGCTACTAATCTAAGCAGAACACCTTTGAAGAGGCAGGTGCATTTTCTAGGGTCTGAATTAACTTTAACTCAGAGCAGAGTGGGTAAACTCTAACCTAACTGCCTGCTTTTGTAAGTAACGTTTTATTGGTACACAGCCAAGACCATTTGTTTACACTGCTGCTTTTGTTCTTCAGTGGTAGAATCCAGTGGTTGTTTCAGAAACTGCCTAGCCTACAAAGCCAAAAAAAAAAAAAAAAAAAGTACTATTTGGCTTTTTAAAGAAATGGTTTGCTGAGTCAGTCATGCTACAATACACCTGTAATTGTGGCACTCTGAGAGGGTGAGGCTTGAGGTTACAATGAGCTAGGATGACATGAGTGGATTGCCTGAGCTCAGGCATCTGAGACCAGCCTGAGCACCAGCAAGACTTTGTCTCTATTAAAAACAGCTAGGCATCGTGGCGGGTACCTGTAGTCCCAGCTACTTGGGAGGCTGAGGCAAGAGGATCACTTGAGCCCAAGACTTGGAGGTTGCTATGAGCTGAGATGCCAAGGTACTCTACTGAGGGCAACAGAGTGAGACTGTCAAAAAAAAAGGAAAAGGAAAAGGAAAGATTTGCCCTTCTAGATCCACTAACTATCCCTGAGATATGATCTGTGTTACTATTTAGGTGGTGAGCTGTGCTTTCAAATAGATAGTTCAATCTATGAGCGGCATCTCCTCTGTCACACGCTCATCTGAGGGTACAGCACTTGCATGCAGATGAGTCTTCCTCTCCAGGAGGTGCTTGGTTCCTCCACACAGGAATGCTTTGTTTCCTTTTTTTTTTTTTTTTTTTAAGACATGGAGGGCTTTTGCTCTGTCTTCCAGGCTGGAGTGCATGGTGTCATCCTAGCTCACTGTAACCTCAAACTTCCCAGATCAAGTGATCCTCCAGCCTCAGCCTCCCCAGTAGCTGGGACTATAGGCACATGCCACTATTTCTGACTACTTTTTAAATAAAAATGTTTTGCAGAGATAGGATCTTGCTATGTTGCCCAGGCTAGTCTCGAACTCCTGGCCTCAAATGATCCTACCATCTTGGCCTCCCAAAGCACTGAGATTGTAGGCGTGAGCCACTATGCCTGGCCTTGGAACCCTTCCTTTCTGTCTGCATTTCTACTTCAGCTCTACCTGTAGGCACTGGGCATTCTCTCACTTCCCAAATGCTGGCAGAATTTAAAAATAAAAGAAGGAACACCAGCTTTCCTGGCTTGTATCTATCTATAGTAAATGAATTTTTAAAAAATCACATAGCTTCTGGAAGAGCCTTCTGGCTAAGAAACTTAATCTAGCCCATGAAAAGGATGCATAGGTCAGACACTGTTCTGGATTGCCAAGTGCTAACCGTGTTGTGGTGTGGCTGGTGCTGTGGCACTATTGTTACCTGCTGTGGCACCTGCTGAACTCTGGGGAGAGAAATGGGCTGCATCTGGGCCCCTTTGGGGGCAGAGCTGGCTGCCTGGACCAACACCCTCTAAAAGAGAAGGGAGAGGAGGGCAGTTAGACTAGTCAGAGGTCAGTGCCAAATAGAGTATATAGGAGGCTGTTTGCCTGCTTCATCTAAACAGGCAGGATTAAGACGAGTGGGGCAGGGCACTCACGCTGACTTGGGCAGACACACTGCAGGCACACTAACACCGCACATACATACACAAGCGTGCATAGACATTCACCCTCATGTACACACACATGCACAGACTTGTGGGCATGGGTACATACATATGCGTGTATACACAGACACACACACAGAAGCATGTGCCTCTATTTGGACCCAAACAGTGTTGTCTCTAGGATCTAGAGTCTGTGGTGAGGTGATGCTGTCTATCCCTGGTACAGAGGGGACTGCTGAGGGAAGAGAGGGACCCTTCAGACAGCCATCTACACCAATGCTCTAGGAGAGTACTTTGTGGCCCTCCAGAGCTTTGCTGTACAAACTGGACTTCTCCTTATTTTATATAAGAGAAAAAAACGAAGCCCAGAGTGGCCAAGTAATATGTAAGGCCCTGGAGTACTGAACTGTACAGCCAGGCCTGGAGCTAGGAATCCTGCATATGGGCCCCCTCTCTGCCTCCACTGCTTTCTGGCCTCCTAAGTCCAGTCTCCACAGCTGTGGCTTTGCTATTTTGCTCCCAGCACCTGATTGGCCACAGAGAGCTATGAAAACAGGAAATAGGAGTGTTTTGCATGTTTATTTAGAGCTGGGTTTTAGAAGTCATCAACTGCCATGTGGTGATTCTCTGACAAGGACACTGAATGTCTTGGGCTGTGGTGACTGAGAGGTGCTGGGTTAGTGTCTCAGGAATGGAGCTATAAGACGAAGGAGGTACTAAAAGGGACATCCCTGGGCAGCGCCTGTGGCTCAGTGGGTAGGGCGCTGGCGGGTTCAAACCTGGCCCCGGCCACACTGCAACAAAAAAATAGCCAGGTGTTCTGGCAGGTGCCTATAGTTCCAACTACTCAGGAGGCTGAGGCAAGAGAATTGCCTAAGCCCAGGAGCTGGAGGTTGCTGTGAGCTGTGACACCATGGCACTCTACCGAGGGCAATAAAGTGGGACACTGTCTCTGCAAAAAAAAAAAAAAAAAGAAAAAAGAAAAGAAAAAGGACACCCCTAAGGGCCATTTAGGATCCAGCTAAACTGGGTGCTGCGTACCAGGCGCATTCAAAGGGACATGGCATCTGTGAGCTCACAACCAAAGACAAAAAGAACACAGATGAGACAAATACCAATGGCATGAGTAGATAAACCCACTGTGGTCCATCCTCACATGGGAATGTCACTCAGCCATGACAAGGAAGGAGGTGCTGACACGGAAGGACACACAGTGTGTGACTCCATTTACATGCAATGTCCAGAACAGGCAGATCCGCAGAGACAGACAGTGGATTTGTAGGTGCAAGGGGTGGGGAGGGGCTGGGGAGTGACCACTAATGGAGACATGGTTTTATTTGGGGGAGATGAACAGTTCTAGAACTAGACAGAGGTGATGGCTGCACAACGTTGTGAATGTACTAAACACCACTGAATTGTACACTTTAAAATGATTGATTTTATGTTACCTGAATTTTACTTCAGTTAAATAAAAAAGAATATTAAACATTTCCATTTATACTCTCCGAGCACTGAGCCACCCAATACAGTAGCTACTAGCAGCAGCTGTGTTTAAATTTAAAGTCAGTGAGATTTACATAAATTGTCAAGTCCAGTTCCTTCAGCACACAGGCCACATTTCAAGCTGTGACAGTGACACTAAGACCTGTCCACTGAGGCTGCTGCTAAAGTCCAGTCAGGCCAGGCCCAATGAGTGCGAGGGGCTTGCAGTAAGGACCTGAGGCAGTAAGGGGTGGGAGGGCTAACCCCTCTTGAATAAATTCAAGTGAGCAAGGAGCAAACCAATTAGGTCACAATCTACTGGCAGGACAATGGCATCTGATTATGCTTTCTTGGCACCTCAGATGTGCTGTGCTTCTGAGACTGCCCCCCAATATTTGTAAGAAATAAAAGCTAAAGATATCCAACCACACTTTCTAAATCAGTGGTTCTCAACCTTCCCAGTGCTGCGACCCTTTAATACAGTCCAAAGGGATTGCGACCCACAGGTTGAGAACCGCTGTTCCATATCAAATAAACTGTTTTGCTGTCTGCCTTTTTGTTTTTGTTGAATTTTCCTTCCACTTTAATAATTTCTTTTTGCTGTGTTCCTTTTGTAGATTCTAAATCGAGGGTGATCACATGGTCACAGGTAGGCATAGTGGTATATGCCTGTAGCCTCAGCTATTCAGGAGGCTGAGGCTGGAGGATCACTTGAGCCCAGGTGTCTTGAGCCCAGGTCTCTTCCATATGGCCTCTGCCACTCACTTTGTGTTCATGTGTACTTTACAGATTCTCTCTCTCCCCTTCCCTCTCTCCTTCCTTCCTTACTCCCTCCCCTTTTTTTGAGATGGGGTCTCACTCTGTGCCAGGTTAAAGTATAAAGCTGGTTATGGCCAGCTCACCATAACCTCCAAGGTACAAAAAAATTTCATTGAAAATAAGAAGAGACTAAGTGGGATTTGGGGTAGTGGTTTATTTTTCAGTTCATATCATCTCCCAGGTGGAACCTTTTTCTTTTCTTTTCTTTTTTTTTTTTTTTTTGCAGTTTTTGGCCAGGGCTGAGTTTGAACCTGCCACCTCTGGCATATGGGGCCAGTGCCCTACTCCTTTGAGCCACAGGCGCCACCCCAATGGGACCTTTTTCACAAAAAGTGAACATGCCTAATTATTAGGCATGAAGAAAGGGGTCCCTATTTCTATAGAAGTAGTCTTGGGGCTGAGAAGTCCATTCAGAAAAATACAGATTTGATCCAAGTAGTCTTCAAACCCATAGGAAACACATCCGCACTATGGTTGCCCTCCTGTCCCAAGGCAGGTGTTACCTGTGGGGAGGCTGGCACGGGCTGGGCTGCTGCTGACGGACGCAGAGCCACGGAAGCTGGAGACTCCGATCCACTCTCTGAATTCTGCATGCTCAGTTCTAGAGAGGTAGGGAGAGATTGGTGGGCAAGGGTTGTGAACATGAAGCCCAAGGAGGCAACTTACAAGTTCAAGAAGGGGAAGCAGTAACTTCCTACATTCTTCAAAGTAGAAACGCAGAGACTCTGGTAGGACAGGGTAAGGAAGGGGGAAAACCTTTGCACAAGTGTTCCATAGATGGAGAGAAGAGCAGGGATTGTTTTTCAAAATACAAAACCAAAACAAGCCAGGTCTATTGGATCATGCCTATAATCCCTGCACTTTGGGAGGCCGAGGTGGGAGGATCACTTGAGCCCAGGAGTTTGAAATCAGCCTGGGAACATAGTGAGACCTCATCTCTACAAAAATTTTAAAAATTAGCTAAGTGTGGTGGCATAGGACTGTAGTCCAGCTACTTGGGAGAGCTGAGGCAGGAGGATCGCCTGAGCCCAGGAGTTTGGGGCTGCAGTGAGCTTTATGACTACAACAGTGTACTCCAGCCCAGGAGACAGAGCAAGATCCTGACTCAAAAAAAACAACCCAAACCAAAATAGAGCTAGCTCTGTGTTACCATATAACTGCCAGAATTCTCCAGCAGAAGGCTGGGGACAAGAACTATTTTGAAGGGCTCAATTTCATTTATCCAGCAATTTGAAAGCTCTTGGTAGATGACTGCCATTTGGGGAGCTACTATACCTCAAACTACAATTGGGCTCAGAGCCCATAGCACAGTGGCTATGACATTGGCCACATACACCAAGGCAGGCAGGTCAGCTGAACAACAATGACAACTGCAACAGAAAAATGGCCAGATGTTGTGGCGGGCACCTGTAGTCCCAGTTACTTGAGAGGCTAAGGCAAGAGAATCACTTAAGCCCAAGAGTTGGAGGTTGCTGTGAGCTGTGATGCCACAGCACTTCACTGAGGGTAACATAGTGAGACTCTATCTCAAACAAACAAACAAACAAATACTCTAATTGGAGAAATCCTAAGGTAGGGTTCCCCACTGCAGCACTTTGTTGTAGTGGGGTGGGCATCCTGGGCACTGCAGGGTGTCGAGGAGCATCACTGGCCTCCACCTACTTGATGTGAGCAGCACTCCCTCCCCAGGTCATAACAACCACAATGTCTTCAGATATTGCCTAATGTCTATCCTGTGAGGAACAACTTGAGAACCACTGTCCTAGGGACAAAAAAACTGATCTATGGAGGAAGCAAGAAAAAAGGCACATTTTATCCTGAGCTAAATAAAAGTCCTCAGGAATTTTGGCAGTAAATAAAAACTGCCTGTTTATGGTGATCTATGCCCACAGGAAAACACAAAGTATATTTTTTTTCCTGTCAGATTCGTACATCTTTCAAATAGGTAGTTTTAAAATTCTATATGAAAAGACTCTGTTAAAATCAGAAAAAAAGTGGCAGATGATACAAATTAATTATGTCAAAATGCTAAAAGTCAAACAGTCCTCACAGTTATTTATTTATTGTGGAGATGGGCTCTTGCTGTGTTGCCCAGGGACTGTTCCCTAATTCCCCCTACCTGCCCTCCCAAGTGCCTGGGGCCTGAGCATTTTTCAGTTCTGTGTGAGACTGACTCAGCTCTTGCCACTAGATGGCACCAGAGCCCCATGGCAATTGGCTGGGGGCATTAAAGTCTCCCTTAGCAGGACACCAACAATTTCTTTAAAAGATTATGAATTTCCAATTGTGTATTTTCTGGGTCTCCAACTTTTTCTCTCTTCTTAACAGAACTAACCTTTGGAATTTTTCTGCTGGAAGTTGTTTAATCAAGCTTAATCGAACCTGTATTTACAGTTTTCTCTAAATGTTTACATCAGTTACTTGCATACCACACACCAAATTTTTCCCATCTGAAGCCAAGAAGTGGGTAACATCAGGTATACTAGGAGGAAATATTTTGAATAAACCTCCTCTAGAAAAGAATCTGCCCTTGAGAAAGTGAAAAAGCTGACTCGACTAAGACCAGTTCCTTGTTCCACAGGTGGAAATAATTTTGCTGCAAAGGCCAGACCTTATTTAAATAAGGAGAGCTGGTTAGAGTGCTAGGGTAAGTGGTGAGACCATGCTCTGCTCACTATGGCCAGGACACACCTTCTAGAATGCAAGTGACTCCATATTACAGGAGTTTTCACATAATCTGTTTTCCTGCTTTAACACATTATTTAACACGTACCGTTTACATGTCAGACTAGAGAGTCTGTGGTTTTTTGCGAGGGGCACGCCCAGTCCACAAATGCCTGGGCAGTAGAAAACATCAGGCTAGTTGTCCTAAAGTGTCAGAGAACAGAGGTCTTAATGCTTGGGGTGAGGTGAATTCTGGAAGAGTGAGAGCCACAAAAGGAGCAAGTCCCCAAATCTGCCTATTAAATTCAGCCAAATCTTTAGCCAGCTGATTATACCACACAGGAGGGGGGGAGATACCAGAGATCTTAGGGAAAAAACAGTAGCTCAAAGATGAAAAAACTGAGCAAAGATTTCAACTGCTGGCCACTGTAGGAGAGAAAGTTTGAATCTAGTTAAGTCAGCTTCCTTCAAGGGAATTCAGCAGAATCCAGATACTATACAACTTATCATTCATGATGTCCAGGACCCAGTAAAAATCATAAACTATGAGAAAAAGCAGGAAAGTAACTGGAACTCAAGAAAAAAAAAAAAAAGGAGTCAATTACAACCAAGCCCAAGGTAATCCAGATGATACAGATAGTAGACAAGAACCAAAGTAGCTACTAAAAATATGTTCAAGAACTTAAAGGAAGGAATATACATCATAAATGAACATACAGAAATATCAGCCAAGAAACAGAAACCATAAGAAAGAACCGAACTGGGCCAGGCCCAGTGGCTCATGCTTGGGAGACTCAGGCAGAAGAATTGCTTAAGCTTAAGAGTTTAAGACCAGCATGAGCAACATAGTGAGATCCCATCTTTAAAATTTTTTTTTAAACATTAGCTGGGAATGGTACATAGCTGTGGTCTTAGCTACTCAAGAGGCTGAGGTGGGAGGATCACTTAATCCCAGAATTTCAAGGTCACAGTGGTTACCTAAAATCACACCACTGCACTATAGCACAAGTGACAGAGCAAGACCCTGACTCTAAAAAAATGAACCAAATAAAAATTCTGAAGTCGAAAGTAGAATACCTGAAAAGAAAACTTTACTAGAGGCACTTAAACAGCTGATGAGAGCAGAAGAGTCTGAATTTGAAGGTAAATAAATAGAATTTACCCAATCTGAAGAAACAAGAGGAAAAAAAATTAAGACACATGAATAGAACAAGCAGTCTAACATATACAGAAGTTGTTAAAAAAATTATACACATTTTTAATACATATTTCGAGAAAGAAAAATGTATCAAAACTGTAATACTCGTCATGTTTGAGCACTCTTGTAATTGCAGAAGTCAAACATGACTTACATTCATCTTTAGTTACTGGTATATATTGAATATTACAATTTTAATACAGTTTTTTCCTTTCTTAAAATGTATATACATTTTTGGTAACCTCTGTATGTAACTGGAGTTCTAGAAGAAAAGGAGAGAATGAAAGAGAAAAAAAATACTGAAGAATGGCTGAATACCTCTTAAATTTGGTGATAGATACCAATTCAGAAGTCCAAGAAGTTCAACGAACCCTAGAAGGATAAATGCAAAGAAAACTTAGGTATGCTATGGTTAAATTAAATAAAATAAAAGAAATAAAGAGAAAAATTTAAAAACAGAGAAAAACTACCTGTTATATTCAGGAGAAAAATGATGCAGATACTGACTTCTCATCAGTAATAATGGCAACAAGAAAACAATGGAATCTTCAGGATGCTGGGAGGAAAAATACCTGTCAACCTAGAACTCTTTTTTTTTTTTTTCCTTCAGTTTTGGCCGGGGCCGGGCTTGAGCCCGCCATCCCTGGTATATGGGGCTGGCACCCCACTCCTTGAGCCATAGGCGCTCTCCTCAACCTGGAATTCTATATCCAGCAAAATTATTCTTTAAAAATAAAGGTGAAGGAAAGGTATTTTCAGATAAACAAAACCTGATGAATTTTGCTGCCTACACTAGGAGGAATACTAAAGAAATTTCTTTAGGATAAAGGACAAATCATATCATATGGTAAAATTAGATTTATTAGAAGGAGTAAACATCACTCAAAATGATAAATACATAAGTAATTTTAAAAGGCTGTATTTTTTCTTTTCCTCTCTTAATTTCTTCAAAATACATACATTTATTTAACAAAATACTTTATAACACTATTGTGGGGCTTATAACAAGTAGATGTGATCTATATCACAATAATAGCACAAAGGATAGGGCAAACTGAGTATAATAATACATGTAAGCTTCTTGTATTTTACATGAAGTATTAACAAATGAACTCTATGCAAATTGTGATGCATAATGATGCATATTATAACCTTTAAAGCAACCAAGAAGAAAAAAAATACAAAAAGGTATAGCTAAAAAAACTAATAGAAGAATCAAATGAAATCCTACTAAACATACTTAATTATCCCCCCCAAAAGGCAAGAAACAAAAAACAGATGAAATAAATAGAAAGCTAGAGGCAAATGGCTTTCCTGAAATGAGATATAATAATAATTATATTAAATGTAAACAGAATAAACACTGAGTGAAAAGGCAGAAATGGTCACTTTGGATAACAAATAAGTTCCCATTATATGCTCCCCAAAAGAAATCCTCTTTAAAAGTAAAGGGGCACATAGGTTGCAAGTAGGTACATCATACAAACTCTAACCTTAAGAAATACGGGTGGCCATAATAATCAGAAAAAATAGACTTCAAGACAAGATATATCCATAGAGATTAATAGAGACACTGACAAGAGATAAAGTGTCATCATGATAAAATTATCAATTTATCAGGATGATAAAATCTTTATAGATGTGTATGTAGCTAGCAATACAGCTTCAAAATACATAAAGAAAAAAATTAGCAGAACTAAAGGAAGAAACAGACATAGTTGGAGATTTTAAATATCCTT